AATCTAATTTCCCTGCCTAAGATTCTAGAGGACAATGAACCTGTGTGTGACTACATTGCTCAGAAATTGATTCTCTCCTCATTTAAAAGGCACTGGTCTCTTTTCCCAGCACCCTCCTCTTCCTCAGCCATTACTGACACACACCTGGTGCTCCACTCCACTGGTGACAGAGAGAAAATTATATGAATTACACAAATCACTCACATTTCTGATCCAGACAAGTAGCACAGCACTCTGGTGTCCCATACCCATTGATTTTTTCTTCACTATATTATATATTCTTCTGTCAGCTAACAGGTTTCTTATATTCATTATACACTTCATAATTGGCTAGTAACTTTACTAACTGGGAAAAAAATACCTGTGAGGAATTTATTATCAGTAGCACCTCTTCATTTTTTCACATTGAGCCACACAACCTAGAAGATACCTGAAATACTTGTAGGAGCAGAACATCATGACTGTTTAAAGGCTTTTTGTACCAGCTACCTGTCAGAGCACAAAAACTTCATGAGATCTAGACACTTGTCAGTCTTTTGTTCATTTGCCTCTCTTGAGGAAGTCAGCCTTTCACAAGTACAGCTGCACTTCTCTGGTACAATGAAAGGGTTGTCTCCCTTCCACATGCTTGTGCAGTATACTCTAAAGCTCAGAGCCTCACCCTAACTGAATCCCTAAGTACCCCAAAATTAGGATTTTACAAGTAGGTGAAGGAACACTTTGACACTAAGGTCTAGTAATTTAAATCAAGCTCAGGGAAGCCAAGGTCTAAAAGGATTTGTGCAAGTATAAATGAATGTCTGACTATTCATAGCAGGGACTTGGAACTTCTCTCTCTCCCCCCAGGATTTGAATCAGCAGGTTGGGTATTCTGGGGAATTGTTCTGTGCACTGCCTTGTGAGGTGCAGTCTCTCTATTATATTGGGGAAGTAATCCAAACTCAATTTTTAGTGATTTTATATTACAGATTTGATTTTTTATGTTCACTGGAAGTTTCAGTTGAAAAAAGAATTCTCACTAGTCCCATCTAAATACTCTTATCACTGGGCTAATTAACTATTCTGAGGACTTCTCTTTTCTCTTCTATAAAATCCAGGCAGGAAAGTACATAGATTGTTAGGTTACTCACATGCACAACAAATGGTTTTGCAATACAGGGAGCTCAAAATCTGTTTGACCACATAGGTGCAATTCATTCTTTCTCTTCTTTTTTTCCTCCAGGAGCAACTCCCTATGGAATAACATCTGCACCACCTAGCAAATGATCAGTGAGAGACTGAGGATTGTACTTCATTGCACGGTATAACTCAGTAATTCAATACTTATTTCAGAAAGTACTGCTCTAAATATTTTCATTTGTATATTCATATATACATACATACAGATATACACATAATCATATATCTCTTTCCAGGAAAAAAATGCCTTGTGATTCTTTGAAAGTCTCCATTAGATAACTACTTTCCTTATCTAGCACCATAGCCAAAATACTAGGGTGGCTCTTAACTGAACATTGAGAAACTTTAGTAGCAGAAACAAGAGTCAAATCCCAACCTAAACCTTTTTCAAGTTTGCATGTGTTTGGAATGAAAGGCAAAGATTTTCAAACCTATCTTAAAAGTGTTTAGATGCTCTGCACTTGGAAGTCTCATTAGCCATATATATGTTAGATTTTACTATCTATAAATTTTAGACCAGTTTTGCATTCTAGTGCTTTCTGTGTAGCTGTCTAAACAGTTTAATTGTCATGTAGCTTTCTACTTGCTAAAGCTCTCTGTCAAATTTAAAGCTGCAGAACAGAAATTTAACTCAGCTTTGTGTTCTTTCATTTTTAATAACTCTGTTCATGAATATATTTTGTATTTTGTTTCTTTCCCATAATTGTGTAGAAGAGCCTTGAGGGAAATTAGAATGTAAAAATCAATAACAAAGTTTTATTAAGAGATTGAAGGGTTGAATTTGGATAGACATGCAAACTGAACACTAATGTACCGATTTGTTCTGATATGCAATTTCAACATAAGATTTACTCAGAAATATGCTGAGTGAGACAAAAATATCTGTATTGGGGAGCAACAGTTTTTCACCTTTGAAACTGTTTTCATTTTTTTTACTCAGCTACAATATGCCACAGGTTACACTTTCAACCAATTGAAGAAGATTTTTTATGCTCGCAAGATTGGCTATTTGCAAGTCTTGTCACTTAGCAACTTCTGAGAAGCAACAACACTTATATGAATGACCCATATGCTTCCACTCACTAAATTATTTAGGAGATAATGGAGAAGGATGAGCACAAGAGCGATCTTGTAAAAAAACCTCAAACCCTCAATTTTTCTCCATAGCTTACTCTAGTGAATTAGGAAGCAGAAAAACATAATGTAGTTATTTAAATAACTGCACAGAAATAAGAAATAATAATTAAAAAAAAAACCTTTTGGCATTGTAATTACAAGAAATATCTGTATATTTTAATATTTGGTCTAATTAGATTGATGAAGAACACCACAACTGAAGTCTCTGCTCTTGTGAAGTCACCACAGTTCAGCCCAGAAGCACAAGGAAGGTCTCAGGACCATAAAAAAGTAAAACCCCCATACTCATATCAGAGCACATAACCTGCATTGGGAGGGACTGGATAATTCTCAGCCTAAATGAGCATTATGTTTGGTCTCCAACATAGCAGGCAGAAACCCCAAAAGGGCTACCAGAACATTGATATCAGACCAGCTGGACTGATGTGGGGACATCTAGGAGAGGAACAGATTCAGAGGAAGGCTCTTTCAGCCAGGGGCCATACAGCCATGCCCATCTTGGCTTCCAGAGGCCTCCTGCATTCTCTTTCATTCCTTCAGCCTCTCCAGAATCTGCTACAGTAAAACTTTTCCTGTGAATCATTCTGCTTTGCGGAGGCCACCCTTCTGTATCTAGACAGTACTATAATAATTTCACAACAGCAAAGAGCTGAGCCTTCAATCAGGCTATCACTCACTGACATAACCCATTTAATCACAGAAAAGTTAAAAGAAAATATGCAAAGAGGTTTTGCCTTTCCTCCACTTTCAAGTTCCAAAAAAAACATGAACAAACTGTCTCACAGTACACTAGACCTGTCTAACCAGATTTGTATCTCTGGGAGAAAGAGTCTGATGCAAAGTAGGAAAGACATAAATTGAAATAGATAAATAATGCCCCAGAGAATGTTGATTTTATTCTACAACAAATTGATCAAATATTTCCAAGAAGTTTAATCAAAAGAAATGTGTGGTTTGAGCTAACATTCCTTTGACCTTTAAGAGTCTGAGATTAACAAATACTTCATTAAAAAGTAGAATCAATACCTGAATGCTTATGAGTTTCTAGGCAATCATGTTTTAAACTTTTAAACTAATGTAACACAAACCAATGCTGAATGTATATATTTTCTCAAAAAACTTTCAAACCACACTCTCTAGGTCAATCTCTTCATAACATCCCTATGTCAGATAAGATGGTAGCCACAAAAATAACAGATCAGACTATATAGACAGTGGTGAAATAGGAATCATTAATAAAAATGAAAAAAAAAACCAAAAAATAATTTTCACAGGAAGACCTCAGTGACTTTTTTTTTCCCACTGTTTTTCAAATTGAGTTATTTCATCTACACTATGTCATCATATCAAGAAAATAGATTGGGTATAAGAAAAAATTTCTTTACTGAAGGGATTGACAAGCACTGGCAGAGGCTGCCCAGGACAGTGGTGAAGTCATCATCCCTGAAGGGATTTAAAAGATGTGTAGATGTGGCATTTGGGGACATGGTTTAGTGGTAGGCTTAGAAATACTGGGTTATCTGTTGAACTTGAAAATCTTGGAGGTCTCTTCCAACCTTGATTCTATGCCTCTAAGTGCATCCATTGAAGTGCAATCACTGTCAGTACTCCAAATCCTATGTCTCAAATGGGGAAGACCATTGCACTCAATGTTAGCACAGACTGTAAGTCATTATTAGATTCAGGGGTAGAGGTATCTGAAGACATCTTGTTAAATGCATACTAAATCTAACAGTTTAACTGAATTTTCATAACAAGTTATATGATATACTACTACACAGCTCCAGTAAGCAGCATGAGGTAACCCTCATGTTTGTGACTTCTTGAATGCATTAACTGAATATAAGAATTATCTGTTGCTTTACTCCACTTGCTTTTCAGGTTTTTCATAAATAATGTCTTAGTTCCATCTTCAGTGTTCCATCTTTAAGGTTCTGTTATGATGTGCTGTATTCAATTCACTTTGTCCAAATTTTTACTTCCAGCCTAGAAAATTCTGAGCCAGAGCTCTGACACATCAGTCACACAATCAGCTAAATTAGGCTACTCCAGTTGGTTTAACTGGCAACTTTCAAGCACACAAAACAAAGCAGCAAGGTTTTAATAGTTTAAACCCTCCAAAGTGGATCATAATACAAAATGTATTGCTCATCAGCTGGCAGAGAAGGCAAGGAATGCCATATGCTTTCAATTTCATTTGTGTTGTTTATCTCTAATACTAAACCCTAATGCAATACACTTTCTATTACTCTGCCATGTCAATCTTTTTTATGTGCAAGGGGATCGGGAAAACAAGACAATATTGGTTTCAATAGTAACAAGCCAATACAGACTCTGCTAATTCAAGGGTAGCTCAGAGCTGTGGAGTAGTAAATTACTACTCCATGCATGAATTAGAAAATACAGGTAAAAACAACACAGTCAAAATACTTGTTTTAATGGCTAGCTGATGGCTTAATCAGCTTAGACAAACCTGAAAACAAAACAGCAATAGCTCAAAAATATGGGTGAATAACTTGAGTTTCAAAGCATTGGGGATAAAGTTCTACACATGTAACTACAGGTTAACCAGTATGTGAGCAAGTGGTTTCCTGCAAGACAGCACTGCATTCATAGATTTAGGAGACCACTTTCTCCACTTACTATGGGGGACAAATGACAGTGCCTTGGTGACAGCAACTCACCACATTGCAGGGCAAGAAGTCAGTATCTATGAAAAGCCAAACTCCATCTCATCCATATCCCTACCAGGTTGCTGGCGTTTTCTTTTATCATGCCCAATGCCCACGCAGACAAACATCCAGGTGGAGACAGGCAGAACTGAACACTCCTGAAAGCAAGTTTCAAAAGGCAAAAGATTTAATTCCAAGCACATTACGGATTCTTAACCCCACTCATCTTTGTAATTGACAAAGATGAAGACACAAACACAGAGGCAATTTTCTGAGGATCTCTTTGCCCCTAAATAATCATCTCATTTGCTCATCTTTTCCTCTCTGTGAGATGGTGGAGGTTACTTCTTGGTGACAAAATTTTTCCCTGTGTATGTACACTACAGTCACCTGGCAGAAGGTGTTACTTGGCTGCTTTGCTCTCCTCACCCTTGGTACAGAATTTAAGTACTAGTCTTGATACTGTTCCAATCTCTTTTAGTTCTCTACCTTTCTGTGGACCTGAACTACCCACTCTAAACAAGAAAGATGCTGTAATATGACATGATAAGAGCCCAGAGGTGGCAGATTTCCAGCTGGACAATGTCCTGAAAACTCTCCAGGAGAATGATAGAAGGCGCCAAGCAGAACTGCTGAAAACAGCCATGGGGGGAAGACAGAAAATGCAGCTTAAGAGAGAGGCTGTAGGAACAAAAGCAGGAAACAATATGATAAATTTGATGATCACTGGGGAAATTATCACCTAAAACTTCATTCAAATTCCAGACCTAAGATACTAATCTTGAATCGGGAAAACAGTAGAAACTTTGGTTTAGCTGGTAAGGAAATGAGAAGAAATTGTAGACCAGAACAAGTTCTGTGGATGATGAAAGTTTTTTGGGTGATGGAAAACTGGCAGATATAAAGCTGAATTAGGAAAAAATGGAGAAAAAGTAAAGCAGATTTTGCTGTATAAAAGCACATTAATTATCTTCTAGAGAGAATTAAGTCCCTGAAGTCTTAAATCTCTTTGAACACAGTTTCACTGGGATAAGGTCAGAAAAGCAACTGCTTTGTTCTCAGTTAAAACAGAATAAAAGAACACAAACAAACAAAAAACCTCACAAAACAAACAAATAAAAGGAATCAGAGAGCCCCTGGAAGCCATGTATTTTCTAAACTGTCTGTTGTAGTTTGGAAGAAAACAATTAGAAATAAAAACTCAACCCTTCTTCATGTATTGATCAACTGAACAATTATATATGTCCAGTATTGCTTAAGAGTTTCTAAATAAAACAACCTAAATTTTCTTATTACTTAGGAGACCCATCTGCAGACAAAGATGACTTTCAAAGCATTTGCTGGAGATGTCTCAGAGAGTTAAAAATTCCTAGTAAAAGGTCTTTTCTTTGATGATTTTAAAAGAGATTTTGGTCTTACTCTCAGAGCTCATGACACAGCAATTTCTGCAGGTTTTGCAGTCTTCTCTACTGCTTAGCTTTAAGACCATTACCTAAGAAAGATTTTGCTACATATAAATGTGCTAAGACACAGATTAAATTTTAATTAACCAGATTCATGGTTTTCAGTGACACACTTGCAAGGACAGCTTAAATAATTATTTATAGAATTTTAAAATTAAATTTCAAAGACTTACATCAGTAATATAATTCTTTCTAAAAAGTTATTTTACTCTTAATCTTAAGGTGACATTATCCAATCCTACCCAGCTGTGAATTCTTGAAAGGTTCTGACTTGCATTAAAAATTATCATTAAAAATTATCTATATTTGAATTAAGTTCACTTTTTGTGAAAACATTTAACTCTCGGTGTAAAATCTTTGCAGCTGTAGAATTTATCAGGATCCTTGGCAAATATTTAAAAATTAATTGCCTTCTCTTAAAAATGTACTTATGGTCTGAATTTATATAAGTTAAACTTCTGCCCAGCCTTATCACAGAAGAGCTAAGGTCTGCAGGGACCTCTGGAGATCACCTACAGGCTACCTACTGAAGCAGGTTACCCATGACTGTATCCCATCAGGTTTTGAATATTGCAAAGGATGGTGATTCCACAACTTTTCTTGGCAATTATTTCAGTGTCCAACATCCACTACATAAAAAGAACAGAAAAAAAAAAAAGAAACAAACAAAAAGTTGTTTCTTTCCTTTGTTTAAATGGAATTTCCCAAATTTCAGTTTGCGGCAGTTGACTCTTGTCCTTCCTGTCACTGATCACCACTCTGAAGATCCTAGCTCCATAGGTTACCACCTCCCACTAGGGATGTAAACTCATTGATAAGATCCCCCTGAGCCCTTTCTACTTCTACTGAAACCACTTCCAACTCTCAGCCTCTTCTAGTATGTCAGATGCTCCACTCCTCAGTCATCTTTCCTGGCCTTTTGCTGAGCCTGTCCATGTCTCCATTGAGCAAGGAAGCCGAGAACTGGACATGGTGTTCAAATTTCAGTCTCACCAGTGTATTCCCATATGTATTTATAAAACAGAACAAACTTCACACTGATTTATCCAAGGTATTCATAGAGGTTCACCCTAACCTCTCCTGTGTTTATCTAACACAGTTACAAAAGAACCTCTTTCTCTACTCTCTCAATTGCTCAGCTGAGCTGAATAATGTTGTTGTCTGTTGCTTTTAGATGGTGTGTTTAGATCTCCATTCTTTCTCTAAGACCCCTCTCTTTATATCTCGGATAAATGAATTTCTATTATGCATGAATTCTGCTTTGCTCATTTCAAGAGCTGTATTCTCTGACATGAGATTTTCAGCCCTGGATGGGCACAGATGTTGTCTCTACTGTTCTGGCAAAGAATACAAGCACTAACAGGTGCTCCATTTGTTTGGCCTTTAAAACAAGAGCCAAAAGGGATCAGCATCTCTAGGACTTTAAAATTCCCAAATCTTTGGTAATTTTCAGCTCTTGTGTGCCCAGAGTCTCAACCCCACCACTCTTCTGAAAAAGAAAAGGAGCTGGATAAAAAGCCTCACATGCTTCCAAGGCCAGTCTGTGCCTTGCACACCCATCCCCATCAGTGCAGTCTGTTCTCCAGCCTGCTCCCTGATTTTGGCTGCCGTGGACCTACCAGAGCAGCCAGGACCCAGCTCTGTCCTCAGCATGGGGCTTGGTAATTACTGCTCACATCTCTGCAAGCCATCACCTCCTCCCTGAACTGGGCGGGCACCCTGAAATGCAGCGAGTTTCCAGGAGTAGAAACCAACACAGTTTCAGAATTCCCTTCTTCAGGGAAGTGAAAGAAAAGAGGCTGACATTAAAGATCTATAACTCAAGTTTTGATTATATACTGCCATGCATCTGTGTGTAGTGACCTTGATAGCACTGTGAGCAAATTCTCAACAGGAAGCTAAGCTTGGGAATTTTCTTTATGTTATCAAAGTACAAGAAGCAAAGGTAAAAAAAATTATATCTGCTTATTCCTTGCTGCAATTTGCAGTTTCCATACACCCACAGAAGATGTTGTAGACTAATGTTACTGTCATGAAAGACCATTATTAATGATAATTTTTATTTTTATGATTTACAGAATACAGAATTATGTGCACAAAAATTAAATGTCAGAGTAAATCCTACCTGGTACTGCCATAATTTTGGAATAATTTCTCAGGATAGTTTAGACTGTCCCCATCATCATTATTCTTGGCTATGTTCATATGGAGAACAAATGCAGACAACTCTTAGAAATATTAGCATTATTTTTCCCCCAGAACAATCTTTAGTTTTTTTGGATTTTGTTTATTTGGTTGGTTTGGTTTATAATACTACTCATTAGTTCCCTAGTATTCTGTTGCTTATTAATCCAGTGGTTTTAAACATGAAATGACTATTTAGCAAAAACCTTTTGTCATCTTTCAAAGGGAGATCTAAAGAAGCAGAGAAAAAACACTTAATTAACTAAGAGATGAATTTTTGTTCTTTGTTTATACAACCTAATCCTTCTTTCCTAAAAGCTCTGCCATCCATGGAACAAAGCAACTGAATCCCTAATAAATGAATATAAACATATTAATATATAAACATATATTAATATATAAACATATAAATAATAAAAGTTCTGTTTTTCAGTCTCAGTGGAACTGGGAGTTCCTAGCATCCCTTGATGCCTCTGACAGTGGCTAATTCACTCCCAGGAGGATCTCTGGGCATTTTTCATGCCAGACACCAAGAGAAGGTCCGGGACCGTCTGTACTTCTGTCCATGTTAGAGCTCATTAACCAGACAAATGCCTCTCCCCAAGTCTGAAGCCTCAGAAATGGAGACCTGAGCTTTCAGCTGCAGCTCTCAGCACCAAGCCAGCTGACAGTGTGCTGGAGAGCATTGAGAGCATTCCTCTTTTCCATCAAAGTCACTAAGTCACTGCTGAGCAGTTTTCAGGGGACTGAAACTCTTTACCAGGCTTTGCAATTTACAGATCTGAAACACGAATTTCAGTTGTTCCTTCATGATGTTGCCACCTGCCATCTCTGTCTTTTCAGACACTTCAATTTGCTTTATTAGGAGAAAAAACTTGTATTGAAGAGAAAAAAATCACTACACTGCCATGTAAATGTATGATGATCCTGCATCTTGTGTGCTGCATGCAGCTCTGGTCCCCCCAGCTCAGCAAATTTATAAACAAGAGGGAAAAATAGTAAATAATTCTGATGAATGATGCAGAACTGCTTCCCAACAAGAAACCAATCAAAGAGACTCGAATTCCTCAGCTTAGACCACAGATGCACAAGGTGTACCTGCAGTATATACACTCACAATACCATATGCCCTTTCTAAACCAGGTTTTGTGGCATAGCACAGTTTATATTTTAGAAAATTTTACCTTAGAAATTCTACAATAGGTTTCCTTTGGGGAACATGTGTGCCACAGAAAGTTCTGGAAGCATTTCTGACCAAATGTAAAACCTTGATTCTTAATATTTTAAAATTGGACAGTAATAAATATATATAATTTAATAAACACTTAGTCATGTAAACTTTTAGTTAATCATAGAATCACTTTAATTTCAGATTACTACAGGTTATATAAAATCTCTGTTTTTTAACATCTTTCTATTCTCATTAATTCATCTTTCTAATGAAGTCACTTAGAATTTCTGTGTAAAAGTCTTAAATTAAGAAAGAATTAATTTCAGTATACCAGAATGTT